ATTTAAAATTATTGGGGGCCTGCATCTGCTGTTCTTGTGTCTTGTTTTCTTAAAAGTTTTGGATCTGACTTAGAGTTAACTGATCACTTGACTTGATCACTTGACTTCCCGTTAATCATCAGTTTGCTCCAGCAGGCGCCGGTTAACGTCTCCATTTGTCCCTGTTGCGTGCTGGTGTAGCTCAATGGCGTCTGTTCTTTCTAGGAACACGAAGAGCCTCAAACCGATCGTTCATGATCTTGATGAAGAAGTCTGGCCATCTGGTAGGTGGGTGGCCACGCGGTCTTTTAACATCCTGTGGAATCCAGTCGGTAATGGCCCTACTCCAGCAGTCATCTCTAAATTTCATTACATGGCCAGCCCGTCTGATTTTTGACGCCTTGGCAAATGAGACAGCGTCCCTGATTTTTTTTATTTTTTATTTTTTTATTTTTATTATTGAGACATCATGAAGAATCCGGAGTTTCGACCTCCGTCCCTGATTCTTGACTGTCTAGGGAGGTCGAAACTCCGGATTCTTTTTCTCATTTGAGTGAAATGTGATACTCCAAGCATAGCTCTTTCGATTCCTCTTTGAGAGACCTGAATAGCGTTCTCATCCTGTTTGTGTAGGGCCTAGGTCTCTGAGGCATATGTTAATGCAGGAAGAACAGTGGAATCAAAGAGATGTACCCGGAGCCGGAGCTTCTTCATCCTCTTAGCTATTTCTTCGAAGCTCTTGAAGGCGTTCCAAGCCGCTCTCTTCCTCCTGCGCAACTCAGGTGCCAGGTCATTTGTCGTGTTGACTTCTCGACCTAGGTACACATAGCTGTTGCATTCGGAGATGGTCGTTCCCTTGAGAGCGAATGGGACGTCAGGAACGAGGCTGTTTTTCATAAACATTGTCTTCGTAAGATTCAGCTGTAGTCCAGCCTTTCCACACTCACGGTCGAAGTCGGCCAGCATATATGCTGCTTGGCTAATGTTTGGTGTTGTTAAACAATGTCATCAGCAAAGCGTATAGGTGGTGTAGTTGCCGACCATCTATCTTCACTCCCATTCCTTCCCATTCCAGTCATCGCATGATGTTCTCGAGGGTGGCACTGAAGAGTTTTGGTGAAATGGTATCACCCTGCCGAACCCCTCTCTTGACATCAATGATTACTTCTTCGTAGAATGGTGAGAACCTGGTAGTGAATCCGTAATACAGCTCACGGAAGATCCTGATGTATTGAGTTTGAATGCCCTGATTGGCTAGGGCTTCAGTGACCACTTCCGTCTAAACAGAATCAAAGGCCTTCTTTAAATCAATGAACGTTAGACAGAGCGGCATCTTGAACTCCCGAGAAACCTCAATGAGCTTGGTTATCATGTGGATATGGTCGATGGTGCTGAATCCTTTGTGGAACCTGGCTTGCTCGCATGGTTGTCCTTCATCTAGTGTTCTGCCAATCCCATTTAGGATGACTCGAGTGAACAACTTGTAGATGACAGACAATAGGCAGATCGGGCGATAGTTGCCAATGTCATGGATGTCTCCCTTCTTGAACAGTAGTACGGTCCTGCTGGTTTTCCATTGGGACGGAACCTTGCATTCAGACAGGTAGTGTGTGAAGAGCCGAGCCAGTGTATTGATGAGTACTGACGGCAGGTTCTTCAGGTGTTCAGGTCTGACCTTGTCTGGACCGGGTGCTGTTCCTTTCTTTACTGACGAAATGGCGTGTCGGATTTCGGAAGGGAGAACGTTGGGAACGACATATCCATCCTGTGGAATTTGGTATGTTGGCAAGTGGACATGGCTATCGAAGAGATCTGAGTAGAAGTCATGGATAATCTTCTCCATTGCCCTTCTGGAAGATGTGATAGATCCATCAGGACGTCGGAGAGCAGTCATCTTGGTCTTGTAGTTGGCGAAGGACAGGCGGGCTTTACGAATACTTTTCCCGGCTTCTGCCGCATCTACCAGCACTTCTGCTCGTCTCTCTAAAGTATTAGAGTTAATAGTGACTGCATTTTATTGGCTGTGTGGGGTAGCCTAAAGTGGGCAATACTTACTTCTAGAAAGATATAGCATTGATCATCTAACAACAAGCAAGTACTATTAATTCGAATCACCTAGTATCATTTTTCACTGTTGGGCCAAATAGGAGTTTCAAGTTCATATAATCATATAATTCAAGTTATCATATAGTAAAGAACATTTACCTTCAGACCAACCTTTTCTTTTGCTTATTTGCTTACTTTTGCTCATCTAGTTTTTGTTGTTTTTTTTTTTTGTTTCATTTTTTGGGGCTGGAGCGATAGCACAGCGGATAGGGCGTTTGCCTTGCACGCAGCCAACATGGCCGACCCGAGTTCGATTCCTCCACCCCTCTCGGAGAGCCCGGCAAGCTACCGAGAGTATTCGATATGCCAGACACAGTAACAACAAAGTCTCCAATGGAGACGTTACTGGGCCCGCTTGAGCAAATCGATGATCAACGGGAGGGCCTTTACTTTACTTTACTTTACTTTTTTGGGTCACACGCAGTGATGCACAGAGGTTACTTCTGGCTCATGGACTCAGGAATTACTTCTGGCGGTGTTCGAGGGACCATATGGGATGCTGGGAATCGAACCTGGGTTGGCTGCATGCAAGGCAAATGCCCTACCCTCTGTGCTATAGCTCCAGCCCCCTTGCTCATCTAGTTTTAACTTTTGTGTTCATGTTAAATACTCTGAGTTCCACAAGTACTTTTTTTTTCCCTTCTTGGTTTTTGGGCAAGACCCAGCTATCCTCAGGACTTACTCCTGGCTCTGTGCTCAGGGATCACTCCTTGTGGGACTGAAGGAGGAGCAGGGCACATGGGGCCACCTGCAAGGCAACCCGCCTTAACCTTCTGTGCTTTGGCTCTGGCCCCCTCCGCCACAAGTAAAATTTGAATTTTACCTAGAATTTTGCTGATTTGTAAGTGGATGCTGGGCTGTCTAGTCAGACATATCCCTTTAAGCAGGATTTTGTTGCTTGAGATACTGACAGGCAGAATAATGGTGATCACATTAGGCTTTCTCTTGGGAATCCTCCCAGTTTCACTCCCTTGATCATTCTTCAGCAGTAGGCTTTCGGATCCTAGTCAAGGGACACATTTTCTCTTGGCCAGCAGCCCAGGCAGTTGGGAATAAAAAGTAATGGTGATTAATTTGGATACTGCTTCCATGTGCTAATCTCCATTGAGCTCTTTATTTCCCTATTGTAACACTGATGGAAATTCTATATGAATTTATATCTGGGAAAGAGATGCCTGGAAGATAATGCAGTAACTGAAAAAGGAATAAAATTGAAGTTTTCAATCTCAGCATGGCCATTTACCAACTATGTGACCCTGGTATAAGTTACGTGACTTTGAGCCATAGAAATCTAAACTCTAAAATAATAAAAGTTAATACTTATTGATTATGTATCATATACTAAACACCGTGATGTTTCATTTATTTTTCAGTGATCTTTATTTTTGGACTAGTGGCTGTAGGGGATTAATGGGACTGTTTTGGGAAAACTACACAGCCTCTTTGAAGCCAACAATGTTTTACAAGCCTGATCACATATTACAAGCAAATACCTCTCTTCAAAGTTATTCTCACAGGCATTTCAGAAATAAAAAGGGGTTAGAGCTATGGTAATACTTATAGCTATTGTTACACCTATTTTGATGATGATACAATGGAAATATAAGGAGGTTAAGTAAAAGAGGGTTTTTGTTGAGACCAAATCTGAGAGATCATAGTTTTGGTGTGCCAAGCACATATAAGGTGTTCAGTGTATAACAGCATTATTATTATGGTCACTAATATTTCTAGATATAAAAATTAAATAATTTGCAGTATGGTTTAAATAGATCTACATGCTAAGGAAATATCTTTTGGCGCACTTATGCGGCCATGTGCAGTGCTAGGGAAATGGGAGGAAAAAGCTCTGTTCTCTTCGTATGAGGGAGATAGACACAGACCTTTACAGTTCACCCTGAGAATTGCCGTACTGGGTTAGAAAGGGGTTCTTTGGGAATTAGGAGTAACTTAACGAAGAAATGCCCTTCAGGTATATATCTGAAGTATAAATGGAGATAAGGGTAGAAGAAAAGGCAGAGGAAGTTCTAAAACTAAAGGAAGAGAATGTAAGCTCTGTATAATGAAGCAAAAGTAGTTTTGTGTGTAGAATTATAGGACAAATATGAAAAGTGCAGCTTGCTAGGTAGGGGCCAAATGATGTGAAAGGTATTGTGAGTCCTGCTACAAGGGTTTGCCCTATCTTTTTTAGGGCATTAGAAAGCCTTGCAAAGGTTTTCTTTCCCAGTATGTGTGAGAATTACAACTGTAGCACTGTCCTCCCGTTGTTCATCAATTTGCTCGAGCGGGCCCAGTAATGTCTCCATCATGAGACTTGTTGTTACTGTGTTTGGCATATCGAGTATGTCACAGGTAGCTTGCCAGGCTCTGCCGTGTGGGCTGGATACTCTCAGTAGCTTGCCGGGCTCTCCGAGAGGGGCGGAATAATAATTTTAAATGTGTTATAGAATCTTTGAACCAGCTCTTGGACATAGAGATTATTTCCCAGTTTTACAGAAGATAAAAGCAGGGCTTGGGAGACTTCATTCAGGGCATTTCACACACTTACCAGGAAGTAGAGGTATGTACCCTATGCCTTTCTGGACTCAAAACCTGCACTGCCAGATCACCTCCAATAGACTTAAGAGACTTTTTAAAAAACTCTAGAACATTCATTCTTACATCATTATTTGTCCACTCCGTCTTTACAAAGTGGCCGTTATTTTTAAAACTATGTTTTTGGCAGTGGTACTGACATTTTACAGGCATGACAGGTGCAGTCTGAGATGGGACTTCCAATGGGTCTGCACTTTGACAGGACTGGAACAGCATGCTCCTGAAAGTCTTGGGCACAGGTGTCCTGTGAGCAGGCCACACTTCTTTTTTGGATCTTTGTCCTTTGTTCTTTTGTAAATGTTTATAAAACTCTTTCCTTGCAGGTTTTGGAGATCACATTCATTGGCGAACACTAGAAGATGGGAAGAGAGAAGCAGCTGCCAGGTACAAAGCATGGTTTTAGGCTATTTTTGATGACCTAACGCTCTGTCCATCAACTGGTATTAGTTTCAGGCTTAAGTGTTGTGTGAAGGCAGAGCAAAGACTGAGTAAAGAAAACATTACTAGCTAACACATAAATGCTTATTATACACCAGACATTGAATTAAATGAAACGAGTCATTTAATTCTCAGCAACTCTTTTGAAGTGGGTACTGTTGTAGCCAGTTGATTTTAGAGGAGAGAAAAACCCTGGCACACAGTAATTATGCAACTTGCCCAAGATTGAACAGTTAGTAAGCAACTGGACTAAGATACAGATCCAGGTGCTCTGGCTTCAGAACCTGTGTGGAAGCAGTAAACTGCTGCTAGTAGACTCAAGTGGAATAGACTCAAGTTTCAAATCGATTAGTCAATGCAATGGAAAATTCACTGAGGAAAATTCACAGGAGAAAAGAAAGAGCAGTAGAGGGAAGGCTAAACACTTGTCTAAGCGCTTTACCTGTGTTCCTTTCTTAAATCATCACAATCTCATGACATTAATTGAACCTGCGAAATAGGATTGTTATTTCATAGAAGAGGAAATTGAAATACAGAATGGTTAAATAAAGATCGGTGTGAGAGTACAGGGGTGGGCATTTGTGTTTCACTTGGCCAACCTAGGTTTGATCCTGGCAACCCGTATGGCCCCCAAGTCCTGCTAGGAGTAATCCCCTGAGCATTAGTAGGTGTGGCCCAAAAACAACAACCAAAAGGTAGGTTAAATAATGTACCAGTACTTTATATAGCCAATAAGTGGCAAAGCCAAGCCCTAGCAGATGTTTCCTGCTATAAGGACCCAGTATTTGTACACATGCATCGTACATACACATAATTGCACAGAAACACACATCTGGGTAGAGTTGAGAGCTGAGTGGAATGGAACACATTGTGTGCAGGAGGAGGAGGTTAGTACTTATCGATGCATGGGCCCCTGAGCACTGCCAGGTGTACCCCCAAATAAAAAAAACAAGTGAAAACACTCACACTTATGCACCTGCCAAACCACAGTACAGACTAGATCCGTTTTGTCTCATACCTCTGAGTTTCACTTCTTGTGTACTGTGTAAGTTTGCCAGATTTAGCAAGTATAAAAATAAAGGGTGCCCCCTTAAATTGAATTTCAGGTCAACAATGAGTGATTTTAAAAAGTCTGTACCATGCTCTATTTAGGACATATTTGCATTCATTTTTTGTGTTTACCTGAAAATCATATAGAAGAAAGCATCCTTGGTTTTAATCTAGGTAGCAACCTTACCCAGGAGAAAAATTCCTATTTCAAGTTCTAAATCCAATGACTATTTCTGAAAGTATTCAGTGTTGTTGCTTTTTTATTTTTATTTTTCTCTGGTCAGCCTGCCTTCTTCTTCTGTACTTTGACCACCCGACCTACTTCTATTTGGGGTATTTGTTTTTTCTACTTGTCCCTAGCAACCCAGCCTCTTCTCATTCAGACTGTGACCTCCGGTAAGGGACTTTTATTTTCCTCTCGGAGTTCCCCAGCCCTGCTCAAGACTGAAAAGATTCTTAAACTCCCCAGCCCTGCTAAGGATTGACAAGATTATTAAATAGAATGAGGGAGAGCGAGCATTTGCGGATCGTGCTTTTTGTGGCGCTAAATACCGTACTAGTCGTTGGCGAGAAGCAGTGCCATTATAACTGGGCCTTTGGCCGCGGGGCGACCACACACACGCCCCAGGGCCCTGTAGCCTGTGAGTAACTGACGTCACGCCGGCGTCCGGGTCTCTTAGGGCCCGACGCTGAAGTTTCCCGAGCGCGGGCCTTGCCTTCTCTCAGCCAGGCCCCGAGTGGAGGCCCCGGGTACCGGAAGTTCCGCCTTGCGCTTCCGGGTCGCGGCGGCCGCCGGGAACCCGGAAGTCGGCGCGCCGGGCCAGGATGCCGCTCGTGGTGTTCTGCGGGCTGCCGTACAGCGGCCGGAGCCGGCGCGCGGAGCAGCTCCGCGGGGCGCTGGCGGCGGCCGGCCACGCGGTGCACGTGGTGGACGACGCGGCCGTGCTGGGCGCCGAGGACGCCGCCGCCTACGGCGACCCGGCGCGCGAGAAGGCTTTGCGCGGGGCGCTGCGGGCCGCGGTGGAGCGGCGCCTGAGCCGCCACGACGTGGTCCTGCTCGACTCGCTCAACTACATCAAAGGCTTCCGCTACGAGCTCTACTGCCTGGCGCGGGCGGCGCGCACCCCGCTCTGCCTGGTCTACTGCGTGCGGCCGGCCGACCCGGCGGGGGACGGGCGCGCCCAGCCCCCAGGACCCGAGGACCCCGAGAGCCCAGGAACCCCGGATCCCGGGCGGTCTTTGCGGTCAGCGGCCGGTGCCTTTTACCCGCCAGAACTTCTGGAGGCCCTCAAGCAGCGCTTCGAGGTTCCCGACTCTCGGAACCGCTGGGATCGGCCCCTCTTCACCCTGGTCGGCTCCGAGGAGCCTTTGCCGCTGGCGGACATCCGGGCTGCCTTGTTTGAGAACCGGGCCCCCCCGCCCCACCAGGCGACGCAGTCCCAGCCCCTGGCCTCTGGCTGCTTCCTGCATCAGTTGGATCAGGTCACCAGCCAGGTGCTGACGGGGCTGCTGGAAGCGCAGAAGAGCGCCGTCCCCGGGGACGTCCTGAAGCTGCCGGGCGCCACCGAGCACCTGCGCTTTACCCGGCCCCTGACCCTGGCCGAACTGAGCAGGCTCCGTCGCCAGTTTATTTCCTACACCAAAATGCATCCCAATAATGAGAACCTGCCGCAGCTGGCCAACATGTTTTTGCAGTATCTGAACCAGAGCCTGCACTGATCCCGGAGGTGGAGGAAGACTCGGAACAATCTGCAGGGCAGATAAATGTGTGATCCTCGAACTCGTGGCCCTGACTCAACTTTGCTCAACACCTCTGTGCCAGACTTGTTCTGCAGAGCTCAGATGGTCGGTGGATGGTAGAGTTTCAGCGTTTGTTCTCTTTTTTACATCTCAGATTTCGAATACTCTGCCTACATTTTGCTGGTCTCTTTCGTGGGACTTGGGAATCACAGATAACACTGATTTTTATTTTGGGGGTGTTTTGGTTGTAGTGGAAGTAAAAGGCATAGCTACTGGACTATTTCAGCCAATAAAATATTTTAGAAAAGTCTACTGGAATCTCTCACTTAATGTTCTGCTTGGAATTAATTACTGTAATAGTTTTTTTTTCTTTTTTTGCAGTGCAGGGGAGGAAACTTTCAATGTAACACCTTATAGATAAAGTGTGTCTTTGCCTTTGAAATAATACTTTGAGAATGAGTAGTGAGAGATTAGATGTTGGTCTTAGACTGATTATATTTTGACTGTACATAACTTTGTTACACATAGATACAGGGTTTTTGTTTGTTTTAAATTTTTGCTTCTTTTGGACCATGCCCTGAGCTGCTGAGGGCTTACTTCTAGTACTGGGCTTGAATTTCCATACCGGATGCCAGGGATCAAATCTGGGTTGGCTGTGTGTAAGGCAAGGACCCTACCGGCAGTGCTATCTCTTGCCCCTTCTGTATTTTTGTGTGTGATGTCAGAGATCAAATCCAGGGCCTCGTACATGCTTAGTCCTTCACACCATAACCTGTCGCCCCAGCTCCTCCCATATTTCAAAACAAGTACTGCTTTATTTGTCTCATTATATAAATGATACCCATAAGAGTGCTAATAATTTTCTGAGATGAGTTAGATACAGTCTTTGCCCTTGAGAAATTGGTGAAAAATTTGAGTAAATAGATAATTACAGGATGAAAAGAACTAATAATCTAGACTTCATAGAGGTTGATGACGATGCTTTTGGGAATCAGGATAAGGAAAGGACATTTGCTGAAGGAAGGTGTTTTGGAGAAAGCTTAGGGGCTATCATTTAAGCAGTTATTAGAATAAGGATCAACAAAGGACCAAAGAGTTATATTTATTAGCAGGCTTTGTGGGCCACAGGAACCTGTTAGAGTTTCACTTTGCCACGAGAGCTCAAAAGTATACAAATAGGTATCCAAGTATTTTATTTTATTGCTTTTTGGGTCACACCCAGCATTGCACAGGGGTTATTCCTGGCTCATGCACTCAGGAATTACTTCTGGCGGTGCTCGGGGGACCATATGGGATGCTGGGAATCGAACCCGGGTTGGCCACTTGCAAGGCAAATGCCCTACCCGCTGTGCTATTGCTCCAGCCCCAGTATCCAAGTATTTTAATAGAACAACATTGATGTGTACGTATTTTACAAAGTCCTGTTCTTTGGGTTTATTTTTCAACTGCATGAAATGTAGAATGCATTTATAACTCAAGGCTTGCAGAAGCAGGCAGGGTGCTGGAGTAGGCCTTCAAAACCTTAATGGACTGATCCCTACTCTAGAAGTATGAATGGTGGGAATGTGGGAGAGAGAAGGGAATAAGACAGTTTAAGTTACTCTGTAAGAAGGATGGTGCTGTTCAAAGGATGGGCTGCTTTGGTTGTTGATGCTCATTAATCTGGACTATAATATTGCAATTATGTATTTTTGGGGGGATGTCAGGAGACTTGCAATTGACTCTCAGGCTTTCTCATGCTAAGCATGCACTTTGAGCTGTTTACCCTGGCTCCCACATTTCTGATAATGTGAAAGAGGATTCATGCAGAAAATGATCGTTTGACAACCGCTAAGACCTTTACCAGCCTTCAATCACTGATTTTCTCTAATTATTGGATGAACCTGGATCTAAACCCACGTATTCTTGATTACCATTATAAATTGAAGTAGACTGACATTTACTTGTTTCGGTCCACACCCAATAGTATTTAGGATTTTACTTCTGGCTGTGAGTTCAGGGATCACTCCTGGCCGACTTGGAGTCATATGGGATGCCGAGGATTGAACTTGGGTTGGCCACATGCAAGGCAAGTACTTTGCCCACAGTATTGTTGCTCTAGCCCCCTGAAGTGGACTTGAATGTTCACAGACATTAAACTTTGGAGTCAGACAGATGAGTCAAATGGCAGAATCTGGGTTCAGTTGCCAAATAGTTCATCTCAGTCAGTGGTGTCAGTTTTCTCATCTCTATTCGATTCATAATGTCTACTTTAGAAGTGATGTGAGGATTTCAGTTGAATAATAAATGTAAAACACTAGCACAGAGAGTAAACAATGTTTAGCACAGCTTAGTTATTCCTGTTAGCCTACTTTTTGCTGGGTTGGGTTTTTTTGTTTGTTTTTGGGCCACACGCGGTGGTGTTCAGAGCTGACTCCTGGCTGACTGCTTAGGGATCTTTCCTGGCAGGGACCATATGTAGGGGCAGGGATCAAAGATCAAACCTAGGTTGGCCATGTGAAAGGCAAGTGCCCTCCTTGCTGTACTATCTCTAGCTCATATTTTTGTTTTTAGACCAAACCTGGTCGTGTTCAGAGTCCACTCCTGGCTGTGTGCTCAAAGGTTGCTCTGGTGATGCGACAGGAGCCACACAGTGTGGGGAATCACACCTAGTGATCACACCACATGCCTGTGAGCTATCATTGGTGAAAACTGTTCTTTTTTCCCCCCCTCTTTGTTTTCTGGCCACACCCAGTGGGGCTCTGGGACTTGTTCCTGATGGTGCTCAGTGAACCATGTGGTGCCAAGAATTAAACCTGACACTCTTAACACCCGTAATATATATGCACTCCAGTCTTTTGACTGACGTCCCCAGTCTTACACTGTTCATCATCCAAAGAAAAACCCTGGGGAGGGACGTGACTCAAGTGATAAAAGCACATGCCTTGCCTGTTTGAGGCGCTAAGCTTGTTCCCTGAACCCCCTCGCCCCCGTGCCAGCCCTGCCTTCCAGAACTACACAATAATCAAAACGAAAGAAGCCTTTTTTCTCTCTCTTTTTCTCTTTTTATTAAATCACTGTGAATTACAAAGAGATTAAAAATGGTTGAGTTTCAGGTGTATATTGTCCCAGCACCCATCCCCTCACCCCTCATTACCCCTCACTACTACAGTTTCCCCCCTACCCCCAGTCTGCCTCTGTGGCAGACACTTTCCCTTCCCCGCTGTCCTCGTGTTCCCTTCCCTCCCTACCTTATCTCGACCCTCCTCCCCAGTGGCAGGCTTCCTACTGAAGACCGGTTCTTTGTTTCTGTTGCCCCTGTGCATCTGCTCTTCCCCTGCGAGGTTTCTTTCTATCCCGAAGTCTGTCCCTCTCCCTCTGGCCGATTTCACTCAACATGACGCTCTCCAGATCCATCCACATTGCAGCAATTGCATGACTTTATCTTTTCTTATGGTTGCATGGTATTCCATTGTGCATATGTACCATAGTTTCTTATCCAGTCATTCTTTTGTGGACATTTGAGTTCTTTTCATATTTTAAGCCTTTTCTCTCTAATTAGAAAAATTGTAGAAAAAAACAGAAAAACAATAGTAGGATTCATATTGCCATCATTCTGCCATAATGTTTCTGCTCTTATGTTTCTGTAGTTTCATTTTAGTCTCTTTTATGTACATATTTGTGTAATTAAAATTTAGCTCGCAAATTTGTACTGTAGTTTTTTATTCCTTTTGTTTAGAGGGGATGGCTAGACATGGCAGTGCCGAGTGTTATTCCCAGTGCTGTGCCAAGGAGTCACTCCTGGCAGTGCTCTGGGAACCATGCTGTGCCTGGGATTGAATCTGGGCCTCTCCCATCGAATACCTGCTAGTCCTTTGCATTATCTCCTCAGCACAATTCTAGCCCTTGAAAAAAAAAAACATGTTATTGATTTCCACTTGTTTATAATGTTCTGGCTTGACATGCCAATGAATTTTTGTGAATTTTTCAATTGTTAATCATAACATTTTGAAATACTATAATTTGATGTTTTTTCTTAAATGTTTTTTTTTCTGGAATCTTTTCTCTAGCATTAATGCCCAAGTTTGCAGAATTTATAAGTATGTCACAATTTACTTATGGTGATTATTATTGGTTATGTCGTTGTGAGAGCCCGGCAAGCTACTGAGAGTGTCTCGCCCACACGTCAAAGCCTGAAAGCTACCCGTGACATATTCAGTATGCCAAAACCAGTAACAACAGTTGTCACAATGGAGATGTTACTGGGCCCGCTCGAGCAAATTGATGAACAACGGGAGGACCGTGACCCTGACCGTGATGTCATTGTGAAATGTCTTAAAAGTTTTCCCTATTGAAATCATACTACATGGATACTTTTGCACATTTAATTTTGTCTTCATAAAATTAAATTTTATTAGAAAAGGTTTCAGGAAGTGGGATTATTTGGTTATAATTTCTTTGTTTTATTTTTAAGTGGATTGCCGCTGATGGTGATTATTCATAAATCCTGGTGTGGAGCTTGCAAAGGTAAGTACAAATAACCAAACCTCAGTTTTGTTACCTAATACTAACACTTACAAAATATTAAGGGGCTAGAAAAAATAGAAAGGCTATTTTAAATGAGAAAAAAATAGTAAGGCTCACGTACTTTGCACAGTCACACGAGGGTTCAATGCCTGACGCTGCATCAGTGGTCCTCTGAGCACCACCAGGAGTGCTCCCTGGACCCAGAGCCAGGAGTAAGCCCTGAACACAGCTGAGGATAGCCCCAAACAAATTTAAAAGAAATTAGCACACTCTGGCCCAGCATTGGAGGCTGTTTTTAAGAATACCAAAGGAACATGACGTAGGTTTCCAGCCCTTAAGAAATTTACAAAACTTAAAATTAGGGGCCCTATTGCTGCTTTTTGGCAAAGACTTTATTCTGAGTGTGATGCCAGCAACACAAATAGAAATTCAACATCTGGGGTAGCATTACACAAATGTGTGCATATGAGTACCTCAATCAAAGTATATAACTCTTGGTGAGCACTATAAGTGTAGACTGAGCAACCTCTGTGGATCTCCCAGCCACTGCAGCAACAAGGGGAGACGGAAATGTTATCTTTGAAGGGGACATAGGGAGGGTGAAACAATTAAAATGCAGTAATGAGGAATATGGGATTAGTGCTAATGCCATGGGCAGTGAAGAAACTGCAATCATGTATAGCCCTGGGCTAAGTGGTTGAGAACCCAAAGTTACCAAACTACTGTGCGTTTGTTCTGTTATGCCTCCCTGCCACTTCCCAGTGAGATTTTCTTTTGTCCAATATTCTACACTAACTGAGATCCTGGTTGTATTAATTCAAACATTAAAAATGCTCTATTGCCTCTTCAGTACTTCGTAAACGAGGTAAATTTCTCAACATCACATTGCTATGTAAGTAAATAATAGAATCAAGACGAGAATCTGCGTCTTCTAATTTTTGGTTCTTAAGAGTCAATAAAAAGTTAAAGACATCAACGTTCAATGATATGAACTAAATTAGGGTTTTAATAGGATAACACTAATTGTTTTTCTATTCCAAAATCTTTTTCCTCCACAGCTTTGAAACCCAAATTTGCAGAATCTACTGAAATTTCAGAACTTTCCCATAATTTTGTTATGGTAAATCTTGAGGTAAGATTGAGAGCTTCTCCTTTCCGTTATGAAATTGTCTTTGTTGTATAACTAGCATCATCAATAGTACAAAGTAGGTTTCACTGGAGCTGAGGAGCTATTTGTGTGTGTGTGTCTATGTTTTTCTTATTCTATAAGTAATGCTTCCATCAGATGTGGTAGAATTCTATCCAGCAGCCACTTGTGGGAAAAGGAGAGGGGTAGGATAAGATGGTTAAAATATCTTTTAATTCTTAGTCTAAGAAATAACAGACTAATTCTGAGTTAGATGGTTTTCACATCTTTTGTATGATATTTTTTACATTTTTGTGTAGCTGGACTAATAGTAGGTATGGTCATACATATAGACTGCAATTGTGACTTAATTGAACACCAACTCTGATCTAGTTAGTATGTAGAACTTGCTGTTTCTTTATTATATCTCCTTTTTGTATGTTATAGAGACTGTAGAATCCGAAGTCAGATTATCAGAACTTAAGAGGTATTTGGGGGCCATTGGTATTATATGCATTTTATAGAAATTGCATCATAGACCTAACATTCAGATGATTTAGCCAGGATCATATATGACAATAGAGGCTAGAGAGTACAATGGATAAGGCTCTCGGCCTTGCATGCAGCTGACCTGGATTCGAGATTTGATACCCAACACCACATACAGTCCCTGAGCCCTGCCAGGGGTGATCGCTGAGCAAACAGCCCTGAACACAGCGAGGTATAACCCAAAACAACAACAACAACAAAATCACCCAGTTGTGCTGCCCTGGGTGGTAAATAAACTCTTCAAATGTGGGACTGCATGGGTTTTCTGTGATAACAATTCTAGTCCTAAATTTTTGTAAAGATAATACTTAAGTACTAGAAATCTTTCCAGCTTATTAACAGTGAGTGTTCAGGCAGGTATATCGAACAACTGGTAGATAGCATAACGCTGATTAACCTCGTTGCTTAAGGCAAAGTTACATCATAGTTTGAAGAAATTGTTTAACTTAAGTCTTAAAAAGGAAACAATACATAAACAAAATATAAAAATAACATAAATGGCAAAATTACTGTTAATTTTCTTTGCTGGTTTTGTTTTGGGCCACACTCAGCAGTGCTCAGAGCTTCTTCTGGCTCTGTGCTCAGGTATCATTCCTCGCTGACTCAGGGGACCAAAAGGGTGCTATGTATTCAACCCAGGTTAACCACATACAACACAAAGGCCGTACCCGCTGTAGGGTATGTTGTAGAGAACTTTGCTCCAGTTCTCTGACATGGATTTTCTGTGCTAATTATCGACTTTCTCTGCATATGAACTCATCACTTTCTAAGAACCATCATGTGGGCCCAAGAGATAGTTTAGCAAATTGAGTGCATGTTTTGTGTGGAGGAGGTCCAGGTCCAATCCCTGGCAGTGCCAAGAGTAACCTCCAAGCAAAGAGCAGAGAGTAGCTTCTGGGCACCGCTGGATATGGCCTAAAACAAAAACTTAAAAATTACAAAAGTACGGGCTGGAGTGATAGCACAGCAGGTAGGGCGTCTGCCTTGCACACGGCCAATCTGGCTTCAATTCCCAGCATCCCATATGGTCCCCTGAGCACCACCAGGAGTAATTCCTGAGTGCAGTGCCAGGAGTAACCCCTGTGCATCGCCAGGTGTGACCCAAAATGCCAAAAAATAAATTTTTTTTAAAGTAGATTATGTATGAAAAAATAAAACATACATCAGAATTCTCCAACTTCAGTGACTTACCAGAAAGAAAGCTGATTATGTGGTTGTATTCCTTGAGAAACTGTCTACTATTGTAGTTAAAATGTCAGTGTCAGTCACTCACACATTCAAGAAATACTGTATGAAGGTAATAGAGGTATTGGGGCTGAGATGAGCAAAATGAACAAAATTGCTGCTGTCATTGAAGTTACATTTGGGAACTTGACTAAGGAAAATAAAAATAAATATCAGATAGTAGTAAGTGTGGCTACTCAACAAGCTGCTTTAGTCGTGATCCCAGAGACTCAGAAACAAATCTCGGAATCCAGCGGCTTTTGGCAGAAGTGCATCCAGACCCTGCATTAGGTTACCAGCCCTGGGACACCCCAGGTGGGAAAAGGTGCCGACCCACCACCTGTTTCAACTGGCGGCTCAGGGTCTGCCATCTTCCAGAGGCCATTGGACAGCCAGGTAGGGGCCTGCAGTGACAAGACACCTGGGGCCTTATGGGATGGGGGTGGAGCCAGCCCTTTCCTCCCCCACCCCAAAGAGAGACCCCGAGTCACTGCCCACGAATGGGCCCTCTGGCTACTCAACAAGCTGCTTACACCATGATCCCAGAGACTCAAAAACAAATCTCAGAACCCAGTGGCTTTTGACAGAAATCTCTCCAGATTTAATTATTAAGATTTCAGAATTCCAAAATCACGCGGCTGCTACCGCTGCTGCATGACATCATATCCTGTTCATAATCAGCAATAGAAAACAAATTGTCTAATGTTGCCTTTTTGGTAGATCTGAGTGTTGGGGTAAAATCCCAAATAATAATGATGGGCCTAGTGTCGAAATATTGAATGTAATCAAAGTAGAGAGAGAGTAATGTGGAAATCATCTGCCATACAGGTGGGGGTGGGGGGGTGGGATGGGAGGTATACTGGGGTTTTGGGTGGTGGAAAATGTGCACTGGTGAAGGGACGGGTGTTTTATCATTGTATGACTGAGACTTAAACCCAGAAAGCTTTGTAACTGCTCTCATGGTGATTCAATAAATAAATTAATAAATAAAAAAGGTGACATATGAGCAAAGATTTGAAGCAGGAAAAGGAGTGAGTAAGGGATAAATAGGTTAAATATAGCCAGACACAGGGTAAGAGTAAGTGCAAAACCCTAGTTAGGAGCAAGAGCAGGTAGGGTAAAGTAGTAGAACGTACTGAACAAAAGACAAGACACAGTCAGAGAAGTCCCTAGGTGGTCTCTCCTTCTGTCCTCCTAGGCCATTTCAGGGTCTGTGGTTTTGCCTCAGGTAAGAGGGAGAGTGACTGAAAGGTTTTGAGGAGAGAGGTAATATGATCTGACTTCAGATATACACTTATAGGATGAAGAAGAGCCCAAGGACGAAGACTTCAGCCCTGATGGAGGTTATATTCCACGAATCCTTTTCCTGGGTAAGGCCTTTTAATTTGAGGGTCTTTGTTACTGAATTAGGACACTTATTACACCAAGTACAACTATATTGGGGTGGTTGGAAACCAAAAAAGAAAAGCCAGTTTCAAGCAAGAGTGTAGGAGGAATACCAAAGAGCTGAACATAGAGTTGGAAAGAAAACTTTCCCCAGCAACTGTTTGCTTTGATGGGCAATGGGAGAGTATTAAAGATCATTTGTGACACCTAATATCAGCGTTTTGATAAATTCTGTAAAGGGAAGTAAAGATAATGAACCTAACCACCAAATAAAAAAAGAAGAGTGCCAGGGAGTAAAGAACAGTATATGTTGGCATTGGGGAAGTTTGTTTAGAAATCTTTAGGGAACTTATTTGCATTAAATGGTGGGTGGTGAGAATAATGACTGTGAAGATGGACTGGCCTTATGCCCTGGAAATTTTAGTGTGTCATCTGGTAATCACTGTGAATCCTGTGCTGTTTTGTCTGCCATAGATCCCAGTGGCAAGGTGCGTCCTGAAATCATCAATGAAAGTGGAAACCCCAGCTACAAGTATTTCTATATCAGCGCTGAGCAAGGTATGGTCCTATTGAGAAAAGGAAGGCTGCTGTTGGATTTAACAGGGATGAGTCACATGCAAGGTCCATGTGGATAGGAAGTTCAATTTCACATGTTTGCTAAGCATATTCTCCAAGACTAGCCTTTGACATGATTGTGTGTGAATACAGGAGAAAGAGAAAAAAGAGAAATAAAACCTATATAGGTGAGTTACTAACTCACCCACAGAAGATCTGAGGGTTACAGAGATAGCAACTTGCCCATGATCTCACCATTAATAATTCTCAGGTCCAGGATACCACACCAGTGTCGCTGTTCCTGTTAGAATTTAGAGGAGGGGCAATAGTATTAGCTGGGTACATCTAAAAGGTTTCATAGGTAATATAACTAATATTGAAGGGTAAGAATTTGTTTCTGTGGGCACATAAGTTAAGAATGTCTTGGGTCCACTAAGAATGGGTGGAGCGTGGACCGTAGCTCAGTATGGAGAGTAGTCTGTAGGGCGTGCTAGAAGAGAGCCAACTGGAATGAGAATTAGTCGGCAGAGAATGCAGAAAGCTTGTTTCTGCTGAGAACATCAGCACAAACAAGTGAGGAAGGTTAAAATCACACATTAATCATGATTCTGGGATCTCTAATCCTCGGATACCAGCATTTCAGAGGCAGGAATCAGAATTCACGCCATATTCTGTCACCACATTCCATCCACAGTCGCCCTGCCGTCTGTAAGACACGTGAAGGTGCCCTGTGTCCCCCATTGCCATGTTGCCAGATTGTCAATCACTTTATCTTTTGGTCCTTGGCATTTGCTTCTCAAAACAAGGAACGATAGCTGGATAGATTATCAGTTTACCATGGATGAGAAAGGGGCATCTTCCCTAACCAAAAACCAATTAATGGAGGTTGATATTATAAGAAGGTTTTCCACAAGGGGAGGGGCAACTGGAAATCCAAGTGTGAACATGAAGCACTTACCTAAACCCCTAAGCCTCAGCTGACATGAAACTAGAACATTCAAACCTGGTTTTAACAGGCAAAGGCAATGGGAATAGAGTGCTTGGCATTTACCAGATTATAGACTTACTCTTGGGAGATCCATAGACTAAGACCCAGTCCAGCACCTGGCTTTCCTATACTAAAAAGTAAAGAACCACCTTGAGATGTCCATCCACAAGAGAGATGCCCCCTACCAAAGCAGGCACAGTGTTTTCATCTTTCTTCTCCCTAAGTTCTTCCTACATTTCTTTTTCTTTTTTTTTCATTTTTGCACAAGAATTTGGCTCTTTCCATATATAATTGATATGAAAATATTGTTCTCCTTCATTGAAGGTTGAACCTCCTCCCATACAGGTACACGCTCATTAACATGACCTGTACCTTCAAAGGCAATGAAATCAATGCATTATTAATACAAAATACGCAATGAGAACAATAGGTGGGATGGTAGGAATGTGTTTTCTGTTCCCTTAATGTAAACTGAGTGTATACAGGTCTTCAGCTCCTGTACAGTGGATAAATCAAGTAGCTACTAACATTTGGGGGGAGAGTAGGTATTGGGGATTTTGGACCTGGTGACACTTGGACTATTCCCAGTTTGGTGTTCAGGGGATCATGTAGTACTGGGAATTGAATCCAGGCGTCCTACATGTGAAATATTGATATATGTCATTTGAATTATCTCTCTAGGCCCACTATTTATATACAGTTTTATAGCAGTGCTTCATAGTTTATAAGACACATTTATTCTCCATTCTTTCATGTAATACTCATAAATATTCCATTTAGTAGATTCTCACTTTTATAGACACAAAAGAATTGAAATGCAGAGCTCGATCATGAGTTCGGATCCTGTGTTCCTCATATCTCTTCAAAACTTAAATATCTTTTTTGGAGGGGCCAGAGATAGTACAGGAGGTGAAGCCCTAGTCTTCCATGCTGGGGCTGTCACTCTGGTCTAAAGCCTTGGTGCCAGACTTGGTCTCCTGAGCACTTGCAGGTGTTACTCCTGAGCCACAGAGTCCTCAGCACCAACAGATGTGTCCCAAGAACCAAAACAATAATAGTAATAATAATGATAATAATAATAATCTTCGTAGGGAGGGGTTTGGGTCATACCCAGCAGTTCTCATCTCTATGCCCAGTACTCCCTTCATTACTCAGGGGTCTGCGAAGTGCTGGGACTTGAATCTGGGCCTCCCACACGTGAAGCATGCATGCCAATTCCATCAAGCTTTCTCCCCAGACCCCCAAAATCTGTTTTGATTGACTCACCTCATACATCTCCTTCCCCTTCATACTTCTCCTTTTATTTCACAGTTGTTCAGGGGATGAAGGAAGCTCAGGAGAGACTCACGGGTGACGCCTTCCGAGAGAAACATCTGGAAGATGAGTTGTAATACGAATGCATCACTTGTTTCATCGGTTAGTGATCTGGAAGGAGAGCAGCAGGGAAGGGAATATTGAAGAATCACTCAGAACAATGGAATAAACCAGGGAAACTCGCCTCTGCCGGCGGAGAGTGTGCTCCCCCGGAAGAGCTCTGCTCTCGGAAGCCAGTCTCCAGGAGCCCACCTCCAGCATAGGAAGGCAGATTCCTTTTCCTGCCCCCTCACCTAATGCTTATTTTTCTTGGTGAAGAAAGACACCTTTTTTACACAAAATGAGCCATTTGGAGGTTTATGCCTCACATTTAAGTATTTCAAATTGTTCACCTTGGTGGTGAAAGCAGACCAGTAACCTCTTTTCTATAACATTTAAAGTGGTGGCACAGATAGCTTGACCTTCAAACCAGAAACCCTCAGTGTAAATCAGTTATTCTACCCCCACCAAGGAGACCAGCCTGTTTCTTCTCTCTCCTTCACGAACCCTTGCACTTGCTTCAGTTCCTGCTCGGGTCGCTTGCATGTTCCTGTGCTTGCAGGGACCGTGTGGACTCGGCCCTCGCTAGAAGGATGAGTCTCAGACCGTCAAGCCCTAGTGGAACCTTCTTTGTCAAGTCATCAGCTGTATTTTTGTACTGGGGTTAATGACAAAAAAAAAATTGTAAACTTTAATAAAACTTTAAAAGGAAATGTGTTGTGGGGACCTTTTTGTTAGTAGAGAATGGAGTTGGAAATGGAGATGGAGAGTCCATCTGTAGAAAACTGACCACAAGGCCCAACACCACCATCTCCACCGTCCTCCCATTCAAATGAGCACCAGCCCATTTCTTTTTACTTTTTTTTTTTAAATCACATCTGTAAGTGCTCAGGGGTTGCTCCTGGCTCTGCAATCAGGAAGTATTCCTGGCAGTGTTCAGAGGATCATAGGGAATGCCAGGGATCAAACCCAGGTTGGCCATGTTCAAGGCAAATACCCTACCCACTATACTATCTTTCTCCCCAGTTTATTTCTTAAGTGCCTGAATTGCCTCCATTTACACTATTACTGCTATATTCAGGAGGCATTTTTCCCCCCTTTCTATTCTGTTGTGACAGCTTCTTGACTTACCTCCTGTATTCTCTCTGGCAGTGCATCCAGAGTGATCTTTCAAAAATGGAAATGTGACCATATCACTCTCCTTCTTAAAGTATTTCTTACCACTTTGAAGTTAATAGTAATAACATTAGGAAGTATTTGGGCTCAGTCTATGCCAGGCACACCTGTCAATCCTAACAGCCCTCTGAGAATGCTTAATCCCCATTTTACAGAAGAATTTGAAGCTAAGAAGAAACCAAGGCACAAGATAAAGCCAAGATCTTTTTTATGGCCTTCTAAAATGCTGCCACTCCTTGGGGTGGGAGACATGATTCAATGGGTAAGGTGCTTGCTTTGCACGCAGCCAATCAGGGTTTGATCCCTGACTCCACTTATGTCCCTGGAATACCACCAAAATTAAACCCTGAACAATCCAGGTATGCATTCCCCATCAAAAAAAAAAAAGTAGGGGTAAAAATGAAAATGACTCCTAGTTCTAGGTAGGTTGACTTACATGCCTCCAAGTAAATATATCTAGCTGCTAGTATCTTATAATGTGATTAGACCTTTAGAGAGAGAATTACGATAAAATGAGGTCATTTGGGTGGATCCTAATCCAATGTTTCTTCTTGATGATTCTTCTTAAAGATTTGGACATAGAAACAAAAGATTTGGGGGCTGGAGCGGTAGCACAGCGGATAGGGCGTTTGCATGTGGCTGACCCAGGTTCGATTCCCAGCGTCCCATATGGTCCCCTGAGCACCACCAGGAGTAATGCCTGAGTGCAGAGCCAGGAGGAACCCCTGTGAATCTCCGGATGTGACCCAAAAAGCAAAAGTTAAAAAAAAAAAAGATTTGGGGGAAATACAGGAATGGTTATCTGCAAGCTAAGGACAGAGGACTAGAGAAACTAACTCTGTGTTCCTACTTCTGGCTTCCAGAACTGTGAGAATATTTTGTTGAAGCTACCCAGCGTGTCTACTTGGTGATAGTAGGCCACGCAAACTAATACACCCCTTTCCTGGGACTCACCCCCAGACTGCTTCAGTGCAGAGTTCATCAGTTCAGGGCTGCTTGTCCATTGCTCAGTCCTTAACTCCTAGTGTGAGTCTGCTTGAGTAGGTGTGCAGTAAGTAGAAATGAACGGACTGAACAATAGCTACCGAGAGGATCTCCTTGCATTCACCTTGACCATCACCTATTTTCCATAGGGACTGCTGTCTTTATCATTCTGGTTATATTATTTCCGGACTTCAAATTTCTGATGTCTTGCTTCTGACTAGTCTCAGGATTCCAAGTCAATATTGATTAAATAGATCGCATCTTTTTTGTTAGCAACAATAATATTTAATCATTAAAATAATTTTACCAATTAAATACAATTACTGATTCAGAATATTAAGACTTCAGTAGATGTTTTAATCTTTAATATAAATCTGATATTTGCTTTTGATATCAACTTGACTGAGATGCATAGGTTTTTTTATACACTTTTTTAAAAAGTTAAAAAATTTTTCATTTTTTTAAAAATTGAATCACTGTAATATACACATTTACAAAGTCGTTCATGATTGCATTTCAGTCATAATGTTCCAACATCTGTCCCTTTACCAGTGCACTTTTTCCACCACCAATGACCCCAGTTGCCCTCCTGCCCCCCCATCCCAGTAGATGGCATCTTTTGTCCCTTGAATCTTTTCCCAAATTTCTTTCTTATCTCATTTTATCACATCTAGCTATACCTGCCTTCTTTCCATTTTTCAAAATTTCTATTCTCTGACTCGGAAAGCATTTCCTGCCCATGTTTTTACTTACCTTATTCCTTGGAAATTTCGGCCAGTACCACCAAAACAGCTTTTTCTTCTATACTATATCTATCTTCTCTCTCTCTCTCTTTATCTATATACATATATATGTCATATATCTACTATTGCTTTTTCAAAATAATATTCACAATGATGATTCCTTATTTATCTGTTTAATCTCATCTAGTAATCTAATCTTTTACATTTAGTAGTGTTTTACTCACCACTGTATTTCTAGTGCTTGGAGCTTGTAATCATGTCTGGCCTACCATAAGTGAAGAATTATTTGAATGAGTAGATGGGTAGTGTTAACATCTTAGGGTTGAGTCCACTGTCCACTGTCCTCCCGTTGTTCATCGATTTGCTCGAGTGGGCCCAGTAACGTCTCCATTGTGAGACTTCTTGTTACTGTGTTTGGCATATTGAATACTCTCGGTAGCTTGCCAGGCTCTCTGAGAGGGGCGGAGGAGTATACCAACTACAAGCCCAAGGTGCAGAAGTAATAGGAGGGATGATTAAGTTCTCTCTATGTTGGAAAGGTGGAACGGATGATCGAATGAGTAGAAATAGAATCAGGAAGGAGTATTGTAGGAAATCTGTAAACAGTAGAACAGAAGTCTGCAAAAACGGTGAGGTTGGGAAACAGATATCCAGGGGTTAAGGTCCTTGTCTTGTACTTGGCTGATCCCACTTAGATCCAGGGCAAATGGTCCTTCCCCTATCTGCTCCCCAGTACTACCAGGGGCTTCTCCTGAGCAGAACCAAGTCCCTGTGGCCAGAACAATCGTACATCAGGTAAGGTGTTTGCCTTGCACAAAACAAACCTGGGTTTGATCCCTGGCATCCCCTGAGCACCACCAGTAATAATTACTTGTCCAGAGCCAGGAGAACTGTAGAGAATCACTGGGTGTGACCCACAAAAAAAATGAAACAAAAAAAAAAATGGTTCCTGAGCATGGCTGGGTTGGGTGCCAAAACCCACCCCTCCCCAAACAAGCACAGAGGTTGGAAGCAGTTTCTAGAAATCCCTAAGCCATTTTGTGTGGTCTGGGAACCAGAACCAAGGGTCTTAGTGGGAGATGGCAAAGCCGGTGTGAGAGGGCCTGGATCAAGTTTGCTTAGAAGGTCAGATTTTTCCAGTTCATTTATTTAGGTAGTATTCATCTCATCCAACCTTGCTGTGCTTTCTTTAGTTTCTTCAGTGACTGTTGGTCAGTCTGAACGAATGCGGTGCAGTTCCCATGTAGGACGCAAGAGGGAGTATAGGACTGACGCTGGACAAAGGGTCACAGGGCAGAATTACCAGCCTCCCTTAGCAAGTCCCTGAGAGCTAGACAATGTTCTTCCAAAATTGGAAAAACACGCGTGTTTTACAGACTCTAAGCAAGTGGTGGTTACTGTTCAATTTTTCGGATATTTGAAAGAGAAAATCATTAGCAAGTCTGAAAGACTTAGAAGCTGTCGATTCCTTAAAGTAGCCGATGTTTGTGAATATCTTATTATGCACCACCTATGTATGCACCACACATATATTATCACTTTAAATTTAACTCTCTTAAAGAACGAATGAAAGAATTCTAATCTCAGAACTGCAGGGGGGTGTGGTTGCTAAGAGAAACCAGTCAGAAGGAGAAAGACAAATACCAGATGGTCTCACTCAAGAGGAGACATAAAGAAACAATGCAGAGGCCAGGGAAAGATAAAATGGCAGCTAGGGCACTTGTCTTGCACACCACCGACACGTTTGATCCCGGGCACCCTATGTGGTCCCCCAATCCCCCCCCCGCCGCCCCCCCGCCGCCAGAGGTGATCACTGAGCACAGAGCGAGGAGTGAGCCCTGAGCACTCTTGGTTGTGGCTCAAAAAAGGAAGAATCAATGCTAGTAAGCCCTGACACCAACTGGGTGTGGTGTGACCACACCCCCCCCCCAAAATAAAACCAATTTAGCACTTTTTTAAAATTTAAGAATGGCCACAGATAATGAAGAGGGTAAGTCTCTTGTTTGCACATGGCACATCTTACGTTTCGTGGTCACATTTCAATCCTTGCCACCCATATGATCCCCCAAAGCACTGCCAGGAGTTATCCGTAAGCTCAGAGCTAGGAGTGAACCCTGGTGGGGAAAAATAATTACCAAAAGAGAATTTCCCACTGGACTAGGTCTTATGCTTTGCTTGTGGGAGGCCTGGGTTCGGTCCCTAGCACTGCACGGTCTGCAGGAGTCCACCTAGAATAACCCCCGAGTAAGCATGGCGCTGGGAATAGTTCCTAAGCATCACTGGGGATGGCCCCAAGACAGACAAATGAAAAACTTCATCCCTTTTTTATAGATGAGCTACCTATGTGATCCAGAGAATCTGTCACATAATTAGCAAATAAGAAAGTTGGGTTTGAACCTGGACCTCCCTGACTCCATAGCTCATGTCCTTTCCATCATCCCATACTGCTTCCCCTTCGAAAGCTGGGTGTTAGTGTCAGTTGAAGTTCCTTATTTAACAGGGATTTGGTCGGTGGTGAGTGATAGCTGGTGAGCAGGAGAGATTTTGTGTTCCGAGTGATTGGTGGAAATGAGGGGCTCTACGCAGAGACCATAGCTGAGCCCAGACCACTCACTGCTATGGGAAAACTGCAGGAAGGGGACGCCTTTGAGCTGGGTGTTCACCAGTGGTCTCTCCCTAGGACATTCACTTGTCCTTTGTGTCCACTAAGAGCATTGTCTATCAAATGGGCTGATACCTAGTCCCTCTGATGTCTCAAGCCAAATGTGACTTCCTCAGAGAGGCGTTTTCTTGTTT